TGCCCCACTATTTTTTATAGAAGGTTAGGCAAATTGACCACAAATAAACAATCAGAGAATAACAGAGCCAGTACTCAAACCAAGATCTCCTCCACTCGACAGTCTTCAAACTTTCCCTTCAGTATCTGTCTTTCCTAAGATCACTCAGTAAAAAGACTCAAGACTGAACACCCAGGCTTCTCCCAAACCCAGAATTCCCTGAGGATGCAGCTCTCAGCTCATTTGGCAGAGCAAACACTGAATAACTAAGGAGCCTAGTAACGTTCAATCCTTTTGCCCTTGGGCAAAATCAGTCATGGGGAAAAGGCAGTTTGCTGACAGGTCCCTGGGTGGCATAAATGGCTTGTCCCCAGCTGCTAATTGAAAAGGTGGTAGTCTAAAATGACCTAAAGGCACCATGGAAGAAAGACCTGGCAATTGGCTTCCATGAAGATTATCATTAGGAAAACCCTCCGGAACTCAGTTTTGCTCTGTAATACATAAGGTCACCAAGAGTCTTAAATGGATTAGGAGACAAGGCGTTGGTTTGATTTGAAGTTTCTTAATGCGTAGGAGGCAAGGATTTTGAGACTCTGTCTCACAGACTTTGGGCATGCTGTCAGGAAGGGCCAGTCCTTGGAGAAGGACATGATGTTTGGAAGTGTGAAGGGTCAGGGCAAGAAAGACAGACCCTGGATGAGATGGACTGACACAGTGGCTGTGGCAATGGCAATGGGGGCAAGTGTGTTGGAGATGGTGCGGCTGGCTCGGGACAGGGCAAGGTTCAGAGGGTTGTCATAAATCTTAAACGACTCAAGGGCACATAACAACAACAATGGACAGAGTATCAGAGCCCTATATTTCACCTTACAATCTTCTCTTATAACAAAGATCAAGTGTCCTGGGATTCTTATGATATTATAAGCTATGCTCCTCTACAGCACAGCCTCTTAGACACGCCTTCCATTGTCCGGTCTCACTCATCATTGGCACTTTCGAAGCCGCTCCAATTTTCATTGGCTACACGACTGAAGGAATACACACACATGCAGCTCTCCCTGTTAGCTAGAGAGGACCATTAGAAGATGACCTCAGAGCTTGATGACTCAAGTCATTTAACACTTGTTGATGAAACATCAATCTTAAAGCTTGGGAGAAGGAAATAGGCTAATGATTCAACCTTGCATTTTTAATTTCAACAGGACTTCATTGGTCTTGACTTAAGCCTGTCTTGATGTTACCACTCTCATTAAGGACCTGAGAAGTGTCCCTGTATATTTTCACTTCATTATATTATATTACAACTGATGGGAAAAGTCAACAGGCTTTGGATTGTGTCAAAATACCCTATAGGTAAATATGCAGGTAGCTTAAGAAATAATAATTGCTGCCTTCCTTCTGCTTTTTTTTCTCACCCAGAAAACATGCACACACATCTAAACATCTGCATGCAAGCATACATGTACACAAGCGGAATGCATACATAGTCCTAGAATCAGCAAGTTGCAGGTGGCAAGTGAAGAGGAATATGAATGTGCACACACACAGATACACACGTATCAATGCTACTTCACTATTAAAGAATGTGCTCAGTGGTCACACTGTCACCCTTACAGATAAAACTGCCCAATAGCGAAATGATTATCTTGACCAGAACTTGCGAAGCTTCATGCCAGGTGAATCAGAGCCTGAGGTTTGCTTCATTTCAGCACTGGACATTCAAAATCACGTGTGACCGTTGTCTGTGTCATTCAAGGGTATGCGTTGGCTTGTGGCACTGGGGAAAGGGTCAGCGGAATAAATTATTCTTCCGATCTTTCAGAAAGGAATGACATGAACACAGGAATTCAACTTCTATTAAAAGGCATATGCATGCTGCTCTGAGTAACACAAGAGCCCTTGTGTATCGGGTTCCTTTCAAGAGAAGAGAGTAAGTGAGAGCGAGGTTTGACACAGTGACTCCAACAACAGACTGACAGTCAGCAGAGCTTGTGAGGGCTTCACAGGACTGGATAGGATTTGTTCTGCTGTGTACAAGGTGGCTCTGAACTGGAGCCGACTCCATGGCACCTCCCAACAGCAACAACAGCAGTCTGTTAGGGCTTATCTCGGTTTCACAGTGATCTCTTTACAAACGAAAATCAAAATGACTTTGCCAAATTGGGAGGCAATGGCAGAAGGGGGTGGGGGAAGAAAACAAATTACCATATGTTGCTGTAATTATTTATAAGAGATAAATAAAATTAACTTAAATATTAATCAGTAGGAAGGGTCCAAAGAAGCCCATATTCCCATTTTCTTCTTGTAACCAACAAACTAATATAATGTATCTCTTATCAGTATGTATTAACATGGAAGGAACACTACGCTCATTTACAGATGCCAAGGAAAAAATGGTATGTATAAAATAATACTTACATAAACAAATGCAGACGCAGTGCTTGAATACTACAATATGCACTGCACCACATATATAACAAATAAAAAATACAAAATAAAAGCACATCCAACACTGTACCATAGTGATTCCTCTGAGCAAACGGGCGGTGACCAAAAAATGGGTGTGGGATTAAAAATAAGTTTTACCTGTATCTTTCTGCTAATATATCTTTTTGTCTTTATCTTTTTCCAATGAGACTGTATATACATAAATCCCATGCAATTAAAGAGTTTAAAATGAAAAATCCCATGACTTGTAATCTCCTAACCATAAGAAAATGATTTTCTTCTCAAAAACATATGTTGTTGTTATGTACCGTCGAGTCACCTGCGACTCAGAGCGACCCTATGTACAAAGGCCCTAAACTCTGCTCTGCCCTGTGCCAATCGCACTGTCTCTGACACTCCCATCCTGATTATCCCAGTCACTGAATCAATCCACCTCATAGAGGATCTTCCCCTCCTGTGCTGTCCCTCCATCCTCCCAAGCATGATGTCCCTCTCCAAGGACCGGTCTCTCCTCACAACATGTCCAAAGTATGTCAAACGGAGCTTCAAAAACATACAGGGGAAAAAACCTCTTTCAGTCTCATACCGCAATAAAACAATAGCATTTTGATGCAATCCCTACCATTATATTAGCAGAGCTTAATATCTAATAAAGTACATAATTTATATTTAATTTTACAAATAGTACTTTTTACTTTATATAATATGTATATTGCTATATAGTTTAATGTACTTTACACGTTTATGCTATTTCTGGCACAATTAAGTACCCCAGTATGTGAGGAGCACCTCAGGGGACTAATTTTCTGTTTCTTAAAGAGGGATCCATTCTGAGAAGATTGAAAGAATCAAAATGTTTGCACACTGTTGAAGGTTCTCCACGCAGATGAGATGTCTGTTTTCAATAGAAAGCCTGAGGCGTCTTCTTTGGAAAGTCTGCGCAGTATACAGAAGGGATATCGAGCAATACCCTCATCTGACCCACAGTGGCGCTCCAGGACCCAACAGACCAACCCACTTCCTGCTGAGCCCGTAGAATAGAATCGAGCAGCCCCATAGGGTTTCCAAGGCTGTTGGTCTTTATGGAAGGAGACTGTCCCATCATTCTGTGGAGTAGTTGGGGGGTTCAAACTGCAGCCATGTGCTTAATCCCTGTGCCACTAAAGCTCCGCCCTCACTGTATGACCCAGAGGACAGCAAATGACCCATCCACTCCCACATCCTGCTCTTTCAGGAGAAAACTAGATCAAGACCCCTCTCTGAAGCTCCTTCAAAAGTCACCGATGCAGAAATAATGACAGAGCTAAAGTTCGTGGCTCCAGTTTTAGGCCAGGTCTGTGATCAAGGCCATATACATACATCACAAATCTAAAACAGAAAAGAATTTGTTCTTGAGAACAATGTATTCAAATTTTGTAAATAAACTAGCAGAATTTTTATTTTTAATAAAAAGTCCCTATAGCAACCTATCAGTGATTTCTTCTGAGCAAACAGGCCGTGAACAAAATTGGATGTGGTATTATCTAATGTCAGTTTTACCCACATCTTAAATAGCTCTTTCTGAGGAAGAAGGAAGTCAGAAAGGAAAAAAAAAACAAACCACCAAGCAAAACTTCTATCCTCCCTTCCCCTTGCTCAACTTACCACTGTTGGTGTTGGAAGCCCTAACTCAATTCCTACTCCCAGCCTCACAGCCCTTCCATGGGGCACAGCAGAGCTGCCCCACAGGATTTCCTAGGCTGCCATCTTTCTGTTGTACATAGGGTTTTCAGAGGCCTGCTATTTTGGAAGTGGCTGGCCAATCCTTCTTCCTTGTCTGTCTTAATGGGAAAGCTCAGATTTAGAGAAGTATCTGACAGACAAGCATTTTACAGAAAAAAAGCAGATGAAAGATATGTCCCCAATTGTGGAATTAAACATTAGTTTCAGTGTTGTCTCTGCCCTTGACACAAGTGTCTTAACCCACCCATTTCCCTGCTCCACCATCCACCAACATCCACTCTCTTCAACACCTATCTCCCGTTGTCCAGCCCTTGATCTGATAACTTATATCTCAAGCTGTATGGGCTTCTGTGATTCCAAACACTGCAGCTGCTGACAATTTCTTATGATGTGGCCAGTATCTCTTGAGTTTAGCAGTCAAGTCACCCATTCCTGTCAAACTGATGTATAGGTTGTCTTTCTGGGAACAGATCCCCAGGTTTGCTGTCCTGTGGAGTGGCTGGTGAGACAGACTCCCAACCGACCTTTTACTCAGCAGCGGAAGTCTTAACTCTTGGGACATCAGGGCTTCTTTTCAACTCCTCATAATGACAATTAAATAAATAGCCTAGCTCATTCCCAAATCATCTCTACGTCCCAGCCTCAAATGAGAGGTATAGAGCACAAGTGAGAAGAGGAGCATGCAAACCTAACATGAACACTAGCTGTGCCTTTCTCGTCAAGACTCATCTTGCTTCTGCAGTGGTTCATTGTAGTAGCTCAAACTCTTCTTGAAACACCTCTGCTAAACCACAAAACAGATCTGGAGACAGAGAGGACAATTCAATGTCTAAAAGGCAACGGCTACTTACCATTTGTGTAAGGGTTGACGGTCTTTTTATTTGTCATCACACGTGCTGTGGCATTATTTACCTATGTACATAGAAAACTCAAATGAGAAGATATTCCAGGGCAGCCCACAGAACAATTAGTCGCATGCATTATGACTGCGATTACTTATTTAAAACAAAAACAAAAACCACAGAAACAAAACTAAAATGCATTTTAATTTCTAAAAGGCAGTAGGTGCATAACAAAAAAAAACACATACATTTTTTATAATTACATTTACTTCATAACCATTTAAACTTACAAATCATTTCAATAAAGCAACGTCATATCATTTAAACATTTAATAAAGAGACAGTAAAAGCAAATCAAAAGGTACTGCATCGTTGAAGATTTTAAAAGCATGCGTGTACTCCATGGGAACACAGAAACAATTTTTTTTCAACGTAAAATAAAGTTCATATGAAGGAGCATGCAGTGGAGAGGAAGAGGGAAGAGACAATACAAAGGAACATAAAAGTCAAAGAAAAAAAAAGGAAAAAAGAAAAGGAAAAAAATAATGGACAAACAAGTTGTAGCCGTGTGCAATACTTTGAGGGGAAAGAATTCTGGAGGAAGCAACATCTAGCATTCAACATTTGGAACAGGAGCCTTTCACATCGCAAGAATTAACAGAACCATTCAAGCTTTAAAGTCACAGCTAACAAAAGGATAAAAGAGGGTGCATTGTTTAACACAATATGGAGTTAACAATCTGAGTAAGATGTGCACCGGTCATATCTCAATCCAGTCAGTGCCTTTCAGGCTAGCTTAGAACGTACACTCAAATTACAGGCGTACCAATATCCAAAAAAAGAGAGCATCAAGAAAACTTAATACAACAAGTCAAAAAAAGTCACGTGGGAGAGAGATATATGTAGAGAGATATATATCCGCACTAAATACTGAAACGGCAGATGGACTCGTCACCACTTACCATTCACCGCCATCGCCAGCATGGTTTGTAAACAGTTAGCATTGTAACTGACAGTTTGGTGAGGGGCCTAAGCGTTATCGCCGAAGGGGGGAAACGAAAGGCAAAATATGCAACATCTTACTCCAAAGACTAAAAGCATTTTTAACTGGTAATTTCTTTTTTTTTTTTCTTGTCTTTTTTTTCTTTTCTTTGTTTTTAAAGTTTTAACAAGTATGACCCTAGAAGTTAGGGTTGAAGGTGATCCCGTGGTTAAACAACATTCTGTGAATTGACATTTTTTGGGTATCTGTTTGTTTTCGTATGCGGCTGGGCCAGATAGAAAACTGGAAATCCTTTGGGGTTATTTACACTCTTATCCAAAGGATAAAATGATTCCAAATGGCTTCTTTAAAGGAAAAAAAATGAGAGTTTTGATAACAAATGCCTCCCATTTTTTTTTTTTGCCCCTCCTTTTCCCAGTTGTTTGAAAAGCTATGCGTTTCACAATTTGCTTTTAGGTAGCAAACCACGCTGGATCCCTCATCAACCCTGCAGTAAAGAAAAAGAAAAAAATAAAATACCAAACCAAACCGAAACAAAACCAAAAATCCAACCAAACAAATTAAAAAAAAAAAAGAAAGAAAGAAAGAAACTGGTCTGTATTTGGTTTGTTTTAGCAACACTGTTTGTAATCTATTGCACCCATTAATAACAAAACATGGAAAAGAAACAAAACAAAAAGAAACAAACACAAAAAAGAACTTTTCAATTGACCTTTCTTTTCTCTCATTTTTGCCATCCACCTTTCAGCATTAATAACAGTAACACAAAGCAAAAAAAAAAATTTAAAAAAAACATAAGAATAAATAAGAGTAAGGCCAGTTTTCCTTTTTATATATATGTATATATTTATATATATGTATATATAAACAATGAGAAGGGAATAGGGTCACATACAAGACACCAGTGATACATCTGAAACAGCGAATGAGCGTGAAGCAGACATTTATAAAAAAGATGGAAAGGAAAATATTTTGAACATGCACCTCGATTTTACGGCCCTCAACCACGGTGCCGTGTAATTTCTCCCTCGCCCTGTCCGCATCGGTACTATTTTCGAAAGTTACGAAACCAAATCCCTGCATGCAGGAGGGAGAAGGGAGAACAACATGCAGATTAATATTTCAATCCACGACCACTTTGTAACGTTCTCTCGCTTTAATTTCTACTTCTTGTCCTGGCTTCAGTTCTGTAACATGCAAATTAGAGAAATTATAAAAGTACTAAGATGTGCAATCAGTAGGCAATAAATGTGAACAAGGTTTTTCTTTCTTTTTTCCTCTTTTTTTTCTCCCACCCTTCCCTGTCACCCGTTAGCTGTAACCCCTGAAAGAATTCAAAAGAAGGATACTAAAAATACCTTTCTAAATGTCACTACAGAAGGAAATAAATCTAACAAAAAGAAAATGAGATCAAAATAAATATACAGTGTCTTCACAGAAGAAAATGAAATAACGAGGGAGGGGCGAAATAAAGGGAACCACTTTCTTGACATGCAAATTAAAAGTAAAGGAAAAGAAAAGAAACGTGTGCACAGTATTCAACAATGAATGCCAAAACCCTGTAACATTTTCTATCGACATGCTGTGTGGTTTAAAGACCATCTTTCCTTCATGCAATTTTTGGGTTATTCAAATTGGTCAATTCTACAGCCTTTACTTCTCCAAAAAATTAAAAACTAAAAGCCTAAAAAAAAGGAAAGACCTTTTTTTTGGAAAAAAAAATTAAATAAAATAAATAAATAAATTAAAGTATTATAATACACCTTAAACTCTTTGATCTAATAAAACAAACAAACAAACAAAAAAGAATCACATGAAATGAATAGAAATAAACTCCAATTGATTCATAATGCAAACAGTTTTGGTAACATTTCTATATGAATAACCCCAGCCCAGCCCCAAATACATACACACCTCCAAATTTGTAATCTGTTGGTGCTAACTTATAAGAAAAATATATCTACACATTGTAAAGTTCTGAGACATTACCCAATTGTTACAGCAATCGGTAGAAAATCAAAGTAGCTGTGTTAGGAGAATCTTATTAATAGTAACACTCTAAGTTCTCTTTCACTGATAGATAAGAGATATATATACTCTTTCTTCACCATTGTAACCTTGTGCTTACAATATTTCAGCCTCAAAAATCCCTACTAAACTTCCTATTTTCAAAATCCATCTCTTTCTCTTCACTGATACTGTTCCTAAGAAGAGTACAGAAAATACGACACATTATTTTTAAAACCCCTAAAAATATTTGTACATCTTGTTCAGAAATATACACCAACCTTTTGAAACAATTCCGGTGTAAATGTGCCCCGCTCCTTCTGGTTTTTCCAGTGTAAATGAGGTGAAATAAGGTAATGTTGGATATCCCTATTTCCACTGGGGGAAAAAGATACGGTCGTTCACTCCTGGCAGGCAGCCTCAGGACCCTGATAGATGGTCGGCATAAACTAGAATTGACTTGCAGGCAGTGCATTTCGTTTACTTTGCTTTATTTCCATTTAGGTAAATCTTATATAAATGTTAACACTGACTTTAAGTTCAGCTTAGTTGGGATTGTTGTTATATGCCATTGATTTGGAAATGACTCATGGCTGACCCTCCAGCGGGTTTTCCGAGACAATAAAAAGCCCAAGAGAAGACTGCCCATCCTTCCCCCATGGAGCAGCTGGTGGATTAAAACTTCGTGCCTTTGCATGGCAACTCAGTTTTTTTACCAGTTGGCCACCACAGCTGCCTCTATTTTTACTAAGTAAAACAGGCAGTAGTTTCCAGTAAGCCACAATCATAACCAAATGCTCGGAATCCAGTTCATCAGAGTCTTCCTCTTCTTCACTGGCCCTCTCCTTTTCCAAGCACAAAGTCCCGTCCCAAGACTGATCCCTCCTCATAACATGTTCAAAGTATAGGAGAAAGTCCCACTATCCTTGCCTCTAAGGAATACCTAAGCTCAACACTGAACAACATTTTGTGAGATGTTTCCCCAAAGTCTGACAAAGACAGAACTTCACGGCTGTGAAAATGGACGTCTCTACTGACAATAGTGCAGGGCATCAAACTGGAAGAGATGCTCACATAAGAGGACTCCATAGAGAACAGGAATGCTTCTTTATTTTAAATACACCACTGAATTACCTTTCAAAATCTGTCCAATACTGAAGATCTATGATTAGAAGAAGACCTGTATTTATTTGCTCATTACTATTAGGCTATATAATGCAGGAGCGGCATCCACTTCCTAAACAACATGCCTCTGGAAACTATGAGCTTTGATAGATGCCAATAGTTACAGAAAGGCTTCAGTCCTTTTGTTCATAGGGTCGCTATGAGTCATGCTCGACATGACAGCAATCAACAACAACAACAGCAATCCAATATAGACAGCTCTGGTGGCTCAGTGTTAAGAAGTTATGCTGCCAACCAGCAGGGTCACAGTTCGAATCCACTAGCTACTTTGCGAGAGAAAAAAATGATCAATCTCCTCCCCTGAGACTTACTGCCTCTGGAAATCTGCTGGAGTGTCAGCTATGAATTGGTTCAGACTCGATGGTACATAACAGCAACAATCTAGTGCAGAAGATTTCTAGTCAGTCTTTTAAAAAGTTTTCAATTGTGATTTGAATGTATGTTTATAGAGCATTTGGGTCTTCCAGTCAACCATTCAGACACATTTTTTTCCAGAACATTGTTTTGTAACCCACACTAGAATGGCACTTATCCCACTTTATCACTGTAATTCTCATTTTCATGAATCCTTCTATCCTACTTTTTCCTTCCTTCAGGGTTTTATTTTTGGACAAATGCTGCTCTGTGTGTGGTGGGGTAGTCTAGGGAGTGAGAGACCTGTCTGTGTTTGGTTGAAAGTTGAGCCATGGATGAGTATGCCAAGGTTAAAACCAAGCAAAGTGCCTTCGATTCACTTCCAACTCAGGTGACCTCACACACCTGAAGTATACTCCACAGAGTTTTTGATGGCCGATTTCTCAGAAGGGCAGCACTTGGCTTTTCTTTGGCGGTATCTCTGGTGTTCTTGAACTCCCTGCTTTTGCTTGTTATACATCTGAGAGCTGGACAATGAATAAGCATGACAGAAGAAGAATTGATGCCTTTGAGTACTAGTGCTGGAAAAGAGTACTGAACATACCATGGACTTGTCAAAAGAATAAACAGGTCTGTCCTGGAGAAGGTGAACCTAATTTTTTCCTCGGAGGCAAGGATTTGAAAGCTCTCTGTCTCACTTATTCTGGCCATACTTACAGGAGGCACCAGTCCTCTGAGAAGGACATGTTTGCAAGGGTTGAGGGTCAGCACAGGAAAGGAAGACTCAGGATGAGACAGAGTGACACAGTGACTGTAGCAAGGGGGTCAGGTATGTCACACACAGTGGTATTGGCTCAGGACAGGGCAAGATTCAGAGTCACTATTCATAGAGTCACCATGAGTCATAGTCAACTCAATGGCACATAACAAAAACCAGAATTTTCACCATTTATCCCCCTCAGGGACTCCCATATTAGGTCCTGAAACACTCACTATTTCAATAGTTTTGAAATACCAGCTCTTCACTGGGCAACAGATAGACATTTGGACATCATCCTCGTGCGTCACTGTTGCTAAGTGGCGTTGAGTAGCCTATGACTCATAGCCACCCTATGAATAGCAGATTGGAATCTTGTCCCATCCAGCATCACTGTCATAATCTCCGTCATGTTCCAACGAATTCTGGACCAGTGGGGTCCCAAACTCAGCTGTACAGGAGAAGGTTCTGTAGAGCCATTAAACATTTGGATTTCTGAGTCCTCTTCCAACATTGACTGAATCCAAATCCCAGCGTGGAGCCTAAGATTCCGTTGACTTACAAACCTGCTGGTGTGGACCAGCTAATGTGTTTGCAGTGCCTCTCATATTATTCTTGTTTTTGGGTCTTGGAAAGTCACTTCTGACTCATACAATAGAATGAAACACTGCCTAGTTGGGTCTTCGCCCCTGAAACTGTTACTGCTGTTTGCTCATCTTCGGCCATGGCGTCATCCCACTTTGTTGAGACTCTAACTGTTCTTTCACTAGCCCTCTACTTCACCAAGCACACGGTCCCTTTCCAGAGACTGGCCCCTCCTGGGAACAAGCCAGAAAGGACATGAGACGGCACCTCATCATCTCCCTTTCAAAGGAGGATTCTGGAAGCACCTCTCTCACGATAGATTTGTTCGTTCTCCTGGAAGCCTAAATGGAAGCTCATGTTTCCACCCCACCCACCCCAACATGAAAATGTTAACCATCCACGGAAAGCGCTGCGTTCCTAACTCAGAGCGGGCACGTCTCTGGCGTCTGGAATCCACCAGCGGCTCCAAGGAGGACGACAGGCAACCGCTTGTGTGATTTACAGAAAACCCAGTGGGGGATAAGCAATGCACTGGAACCAACTTGATGACAGCGAGATTTAGGGGTTTTTTCAGTTCCTTAAGAGTAAGGCTAGAGAGATAAAAGAAATGAGAATGTGCTTACTTTTAAGTAAGACCATTTGGTGTCTGCTGACATAGGGAGGGTCAGGTGAAGTGAGGGAGGCAGCTCTATGTAGATCCGTATCTATGTATCTATATCTGTGCCTACACACACTCACACACACGCCTGGATCACATACCCACCCTCACTGAGTGTTGAGTTTGAGTGTCCCCATGAAGGGAGGTCAGAAGGGACTTTTTTTAAAAAAAATAATAATTTTAATGAGCATTTACAGAGATTTTGGATTTCCATTCATTCATTGCTGCACTTCTCTCCCCACCCAGCCCTCCCCACCTCAGTTCGCTCCTCTCTTTCAAAAGTAAAAGAAACACTCCCTCCCTGGGACACAATCTCCCCGCACCCCTCCCACCGCCCCAAGTACATTCCACTATGAAACCTTAATTGTGGACTCTTTTGATAACCATAAGACCCTATCATACAGCTCTTAAAAACCCAAACCCAGCCAGTTCTGACTTACAGCAACCGTCTATTGGGTTCCCAAGGCAGGAAATCTTTATGGGAGGCAATCATCCATCTATCTTCTGTGGAGCCGTTGGTGGATTAGAACTGCTGACTTTTGGGGTGAGTAGCTTGAGAGTATAAATAGTATGCCACCAGGACTCCCTACCCATTTCCTTTCCACGTCTATAGCACTCAGTGACAGAAATAAGGTCATAACAAAGGTTCGGCTTTCTCAACCATAAAAAGGAAATTATCTCTTTAAAGACAAATATTGCATGGTGCCACTGCTGAAAAATGGGACTGATATCAGGGTGGGGGTAAGATTGAGAAGAACTGGATAAATTGTGTATACTGCACTGAAACAGATGAGGGACTGAATAATTTAAAAGAGATGTATGATAGGGTCTTATGGTTATCACAAGAGTCCACAATTAAGGTTGCAGAGTGGAATGTACTTGGGGCGGCGGGAGGGGTATGGGGGGGGAATGTGTACCAGGGAGGGAGTCTTTCTTTTACTTTTAAAAGAGAGAAACGAACTCTGGGGCGGGGGAGAGGGCTGGGCGGGTAGAGAAGTGCAGCAATGAATGAATGAAAATCCAAATTCTCTGTTCATTAAAATTATAAAAAAAATTAAGGACTATAAACTTCATTCAAGAAAAGCTTGGGAAAAAAAAAACTAAAAAAAAAACAAAAAAAAATTTAAAAAAATTTTGAAAAAAAGATGGCCCTTTCACATAACGACTCATATCAAACACAAAATTTTAAAAATCTCTTTCTGATCCAGTTCACTTTTTATTGGCCATCAACTGGACCCTGTGGATGACACTTCAGCAACCAGCTCCAACCTCTCTGTGCAAGGCCAGTTATTTATTCCACAGAGAAGGAGTATACGCAATACTGAGAGGATATTTTTGCTATTTCCTAATTTCAAAAAAGAAATGGTAGCCTAACAAAGTTTGGCTCCATATGTAGTGAATTTGTATGGTCTTGTTCTCAAAGCCCCCAGAGACGGGCTAATCATGGGAATGACGGAAGACATCTTAAAAATAGCACCTCCATTGTACTTTCAAAATAGCAAGCGATATTCTTCTAATGTCCCCAAACAGCTCTCGAAAAGAATTAAATAGCTTTCTCCAATGGGCACAGGTTACAAAACAAAATGTAAATGAAATATAAATTTAAAGCGACAGAGAGAGAGAGGGAGAGGGAGTTTAAGAGGCCATGCTGCTTCAGACAAATGCTGGATCTGATGACAATTGGCCAATGTTCTATGCCATCTTCTACAAGTTGGCCAAGAAATACATCGGGTCTGAATGAAAAGGATTAGGCAGGGCACATTTTCCCCTTAATGCACTTTTGCTTTACAAGGACAGAAATAGTCCCCGTTAATAATTGTCACATATATTAAAAAAGCAGAGTTAATTTTCTCCCTTCCCAAAGTCTAGGGGTCAAACTGCTGACATATCTCCAGAAAGGAGGTATAATATCTGAAGTTATAGAAGAACAAGCCTCCTGAACTAGCAGAAACAGAGTATGATGGACTTCCCCCCCCCAGTCCCCCCCATAAACCCATCTGGCATTCAGCAACATTGTTGTGGCTATGGAAAGAGAGAATCCTGGAATTTTCTTAATTTGATCAACATTGTTCTATCCAGTTCAGACTATATGTACTTAAGAATAAATCTGGTGTGGAAGAAAGGGAGCCAGAATGTTCTTTAGAAGAAAAGATGGTGTGATTTCAGCTAATGTACATGGACTAGTCCCCAGAGAAGGACATCACGTGTGGCTAAGTGGACGGCCAGCACAAAAGACCCTCAAGGAGCAGCCTCTCATAGTGGTCACAATAAATGGCTTAAGCACAGCCCAGGCTGCAGGACCAGACAATGTTTCATCTTGACACCTAACAACAACAACAATATATATTGAATCAACCCATGGGAAAGCTCTCTCTCTCTCTCTCTCTCTCTCTCTCTCTCACACACACACACACACACACACACACACACACACACACTCTGTTGTTGAGTTGAAAAGGACTCATAGCTGACCTTCCACTGGTTTCCAAGGCTGTGAGTCACAAGGGAAGAGAATGGCCCCTTTTCTCCCTTACAGTTTCCAGTGGATCTGAACCACCAGAGTAGCGTGGTCTTTGGGTTTGAAGCACAACCCCCAATGGACTTGGCCACGAGAGCACTCGGAAAGTTCTTTAAGTCTCCTAAAGATGTGTTTAGCTGAATTTTGCATTTGCTAAAGAAACGGTTGCTTGTACCCATAAAGCTAAGGCACTGGGTGTCCTTCAATGAGATTCCCATTGAAGTCTTGAGTTTTAATATGTTAGAACAGAAAGTGGTTGTGGGGCACTTCAGCAGATGCAAAAGAATTACAAGAGAGGGTGTGTGAGGAGGGAAGCCAAGGCCCAGCAAAGTTCCTGTAGTGGAGTAAATTGTGCTGTCCCATCCCCAGCCCAGGCCAAGATGGCTTGTAGCTTCTAACCCCAACACCTGTAAGTATACTCCCATTTGGGAATGGCAGAATTAGCGTAGGGTGTGTTCTGAGCCAAAGAGGTCAGGCTCCTACGAGCTCTGGAGGAGGAAGGAGAAATGTCCATTATGAGGTTGTCCAAGTTGTAATCTTTACAAAACCCAGCCAGCACTTCTTTCTCTAGTACAGGATCTGGCAGGTCTGAACAGACAACATTTGGTTACAGTCAGGTTTTTTTGTCCATTGTGCTATGAGGGCTCCTTTTACCAGGTATGAAAGGAGCAGATTAAGCCAAGCAGAGATGGAAGAAGACAGATCCTAAGGCATGTGCCAATCTCCAAGGAAGCAGGAAAGAGGAAATGAAGAGACAAGACCTTCTCTGAGAGCCAAGACTGAATGGGGGGGGGGGGGCGTAACCCCTTCTAGCACAGTTCCAAGTTCAGTCTCCTACTCACTTAAACTAGGGAGCTCTGGTGGCCTAGTGGTAAGAAGCTGTACTGCAATCCCAAAAAACCTGCAGTTCAAATCCATCAGCTCCTGGAGGATTTAATTTCCCATGAAATGTAATGCCTCTGAAAACCTACTGGAGGGCCACCTATCTGTCAGTTCTGACACAACAGCACCCCCCCCCAACACACACACACAGAGTTTCCTAAACTCGGGAACTCTGGTGACACAGTGGGAAAAAGCTGCAAGGCCCAGGGTTTGAATCCACCAGTTGCTCTGGGGGGCAAGGGTGGGCAATCTCCTCCCATGCTATTAACTGCCTCTGAAAACAACACTGGAGGTTAAGCTATCCACTGATTCTGACTTCAGGGCACAATAATCTCATAAACATCAAGGGAATAAACTACTTCTGTCTGTCCAGCTTATCTACTTGTGGTATTTCTAGTGTAGCAGCACTAGATATGTTAGGACAATAACTAAGAGAACAAAGGAGTGTTTCATATGGAGGAAAAGGAAAGCCTAACCTTTGTCTAAAGAAGACACAGTTTGTCATTTTATGGGCAATTCTGGAAGGTCTGTTGTCAACTGTCATTAAGGTGATTCCGACTGAGAGCACTTCCATGTGTTTGTTACAAGACAGGGGTTTACAAAGTGGAGATCCTGGAAGTCGACTGCCAGGCTGGTCTTCCAAGGTTCCCATTGGGTCGGTTTGAACTATCAACCTTTTGGCTAGTAGTGGACAGCTTAATCATTGGCACCACCTAGGGGCTCCAGTTGGAAAGCTTGTTGAGAGAGATTGATGGGGGACCCTTTGAGAATTCAAGCAATCGAGTTCCTTAAAGACCTACCTCAGAAATATTGTAGGGTTTGGTGCTAGACCACCCCAACAAAGCAAAAAGTGCAACAAAGTGCGTCACCCATTTGTTATGTTGGCACTGTAGTCTATGAAATGTGCAATACTACTATGAAACACATTGAAATATTGTTAGAAGTCCTGAAATGTAACAGGGAGACACAAATGAGTCCATTCTGTTGGAAAGATGGCGCCCATAGTCTGACGTCTTGACTTAGAGTTGAATCTTCACTTTGTGAAAAATAAAAAATAATTGGTATTTATGAGACATAAGAAAGTGAAGTGTAATACAATAGATGCCTGTTCATCTTGGTTGGGCCTGCAAATTTTCATTTTAATAAGATCTTTATGATGCTGATCTCAGGGACTCCACGTAGACAACGAAAGATCTAGAAGATATTTTGAAAGAGCCTGACCTTTTTTTTCCCTGTTTGTTTCCCTGTCAACCTATTTATATTGTGAACATACTTGCTCTTCTCTGTAAGAAACCGTGATGGCTGCAAATTGAAAGGTAGGAGGCTCAAATCAACCAAGAGCCATGTTTGGTTGCTTACCCACAGGTTAGTGGTTCAAACCCCACCAGCTATTCCATGGAAAAAAAGATGAGATGGAGCTTCTATCTCACAATTTCCAAAATCTAATGAAGAATCACTGTGAGTTAGAACTGACTTAAACTATAATGTAGGGCTTTTATTAGTGGGCTCAGGGTCTCTCTGCAGTACCCTCAATTGTTACAATACTGTTAGTTCTAGGAATATCTACTTAAAAACTGGTTTCCCAAGGGGGGAAAAATAAACTCAGAGCAAAGGCACACTGCAAATTGCAGCCTGGTTAATATACTCCTGAATAAAATTATATTCAAAAGGTTGGTGTATAGGAGATTTCTCCTCGCTCCCCCTGAAACCCAGGAAAATAACTGCACTTTATTAATACAGAATAATCACATATTTACCTGCTCGTGAGACTATCAACTCACTTTTTAATATAAAGAACATAATTATCACTGAAAAACAAAAATGTAGCAAACATCATTATTTATTTCTTTAAGCACAGGTAATTTTCCTCTGGAAACTTGAGATCTATGCCTATCTAACAGCGACAACTTTAAATTATCCCCTTAAACACTTTCAACCGAGTCCAATGCGTTTCCCCGGCATTTTGGAGACAGGAGGGGCTCCCTGTGGAAATCCCCACTGAAGTTCATTTCCACCGTGTGCTGATTCAAATAGTGCAGTTGTTTCCCCTTATGCCTAAGACACACTGCAAGTAAGCTAAACAATTCCATAGCCAATTAGGCTGCTTACCTTGGAGCCTCGCTCATTAAAAATAATTTCAACATCTAAGATTTTACCAAATTGCTGCAAAGAAACAGAAATATTTCATGAGCAAAAGAGCGATGGAACAAATCAGTTTGTACATTTGGTAATCTTTCCCAAAGTGAGAATTTCCCCTCCCTTTTTAAATCCCACGGATACACATTTCATGCGGTTGCATTAAGATACGTGTATCACCAAGAGGGCATGCAAAATTAGGGCACTGCTCATGAGATGAACCCACCGCCCCCCCAGGAAGGCGCTAGTACAAATGGTAGCAATCAAAGGGTTAATATTTGTTTTCACTCTCTTCAAGTGTGAATGATTGCTTTCCCAGGCACTGAGCTGCAAAGATCAAAATGGCTACAACATACCTTGACCCTCCTAACCCGTCCCAATAGGCCCTGGGAGAAACACCCTAATGAACTTGAATTTAAAAAATAACATATCGAACAAAATGCGATGTTCAAGGGTTTTGGCCTTTAACCTCCATCAAAACTAGAACAGCCAGACCACAAAAGAGAAGGAGAATGGACAAAAGCAGAGTCCACTATATAGACCTCTGTCACACCGAGATACCTCCACAGTGTCACTCAGCCCTTGGGAGGCAACAAGGTTCCTCAAGATGATTCCCGTATTGTCAGACACACTGAAAGAGTAAATTAGCAGGCACGCTAATTAGGTGGCATAGTGCCCTACCTGTTGAAGCATTAATCAAAAGGTCAGTAGTTCGAAACCACCAGTAACTCCAATCAAGAAAGATAAGCAGACTACTCTCATTAGAAGATAGAGCTTTATACAGTGTTTGTCTTTATGAGACTGAGTTTAGTTCCCTCAGCATAATGCTGTCCAGTCCTTCCCATGTTAGATCATAATTTACAAAGTCATTGCTCCTGCGTGCTGCTTAGTATTTCACTGTGTGAATGTACCATTTAAGACCATTATTGTAGAACGAATATGAGGATCAGCGGGGGGGG